CCATTCACTGCCATTATAAAGCTTGGAAGAGCCAGGATATTTTTTAATATATTTAATTTAATATATAACTCCGAGTGTATTCGTCTGAAAGAAGAAAGTCATAGACACCTTGGATGGCTTGAGGGTGAGTAAATCATGGGGTAATTTTCATTTTTAAACGAATTATCCCATTAAGTTGCTTGTATGGACAATGGATTAAGATGGTTAGCTAAACAAGTCTTGAGACTGCAAGAACTCAGAGACCAGAAGAAGAGATGAACAATTGGAGAACTGAACAGGAGGTTAAAGAAACAGTTGGGTTCCCTAAAGCGATCTGGTATTCCCTCGTTAAATGACTAAACGGCCTCCCAAAACGATGATGGACCAATGTACAAAGGAACCTTGTTTTAGGATCTCTTGTTAACAGGGATGAGTCGTTAAAGGGGACATTGGATGCCCGTTTTAAACAAGTTGGTATGATTCTTTAGGGCCTTCATGAAATGTCTGCAATGTACTTTGGTTAAAATTCCTCAATGGTCGTGTAAAACAAAACCCTTTTACCGTTAGCCCTTTTTCATTGGTGCCGTGACCCGGATGGGAGTGAGCTTTAGGGGGGTGAGTGTAACGGAGGCCAGCGAGTAGGTGCTGTGCAGGTAAACCTCACTCCCCTGATAACCCCTGTAACCCCTCTCTCCCGGGTCCTCAAGCCCCCTTGTTAGTGCGTCCACCTCCCATGCCGGAGACCCACTCGGAACAAGAACGAGGTGTGGCGGTGAGGACCCGGGAGAGAGGGGTTACACTAACACATATTATATGCAAATGCAGCTGATGTCCCCTTTAAATGGGTCATGAACTGAGAAACCAAAATTCCCTTGATCTTTTGAAATATAAGACGTCATTGTACTATAAAAACATCCTGTAGATTTCAGAACTCAAAACTTTGTCTTTAGTCTAAAAACAGCTTATATTGAAGGCAGTCTGCCAAAACCACAGCTTGCGGAGGCGGTGCTTATTCACACTATTACATCATAGAGTACTATGATGTAATAGTGTGGATAAGCACCGCCTCCGCAGAAGAAGATCGACATCACTGCCTGTTTAGCCCCGCCCACTTCCTGATAAACTGGCACTAAATATCACTAAGAAAAGTAGGAGAAGCCACTGAATATAACCAATTTCATATATAATAAATGACTTGCGCCTCAGAGTGAGCATACAAAGCACAATAAATGCAGTCATTGCTTTCGGAGGTGGATGCCTGCTGTTTGGGAACGCAGTCGTGTAAGACTATTATACAGAAATACTTTGATGACAGACTTTGCTCGGGTATTTCAGAATAACCATACATCCCATGACGCAAATCACATGACTTTTTTGATGTGCTTGGAGGAATTTATTCGCCAAATGCATTTCCATCTCCCATTATTCGCATTAACCCTTTTTCGCACAAGACAAAAACCGCCTCAAGCGAGCGTTAAAAACTTTTTTGATATTTTTTTCAAAATTTGGTGTTTCCATCACTCGTTTCTCATGCGATACTTCAAAATGCGTATTAAAAGAGGGTGACGGAAACATAGCTAATGCGTGGTGGAAGTAGATTTAGATGTCGTACCATAAACGGACAGACTTGGGAGCCGGGGCCGAACATGAGTTCACACTGCCGGTTGGCGTTGTAGAGTTGACCCGGAAGCTGGCTGGGAAGGTTATACATCCTCCCCAAAGGCTCGTCCAGGAGACATTCACCATAACCAGTGCTAAAAAGAAAAAAAAACAGACAGATATCAACACATTCATCAAGGAGAACTCTAGCGATAGCTTCAGGTGGGTTTCTTCATCCTCAGAAGCCTGTAGGAAGTACTATTGTAAAGCATTTAGTGTTTTATGCATCAGCTCGCAATGGATAATTATGAATGCAGTCTTTCTGATTTCACCTGGCGTCTGAAGGTCAAGTGTAAGATGGAGGCAGCGGTGGGTGGTCTGCTTTGTTACCTGCGAGTAACTGATTGAATGGACCTCAGCCAACACAAAGGCTGCATTTCACCCTAGTATAGACGGTGCTCTTTAACAATGCTGGGTCTCCAAGAATCAACTCAAAGGTGCCAAAACCAACGTTTCAACAACGTCATGACATATACGTCCCACCACACCCTTCCTTTGAAACGCATAAAGGAGCTACAAAAGAGCAGGGTACCACATTGGAGCTCATTGAATTGTTGGGCTTAACGTCTCTGAATGGCTCTTTCAGCCAGAGAGAGAACAAAATAAACCTCCTTTCTCCATTCGCCAGCTCAGCTTTCTGCAAGGGAGAACGGAAATCGGGGCTCAGGATAGCCGTGTGATGTAATTACGTGAGTTGTTGATGTTGCTGGTTCAATTTGTCCTTGGCTTTGAGACTAAACACCTGCGTCAGCTGATATAGTCCTTTCATTACCTCGCTCACCCTTCACTCCCACTCCACACACCCTACAAGACACCTTTGTCTTTACGAGGGGGAAAACGGACACTACTCGAGGTGCATGCGTCCTTCTGCGGGACTCATTTATCCATCAGAGTAACGATGACAGCGCAGTACGCTCTCGTCTCTCCGCACCTCGCCATCAGCTCGTGAGAGTTTGAGTTATGAGTTCATCAAATCAGCAAGACTGAGGCTGACAGAAACCCTTCATGCCAGTGCAAAGCAAAGAGCGATAAGATTACAGTAAACTGAGACCGTTAGATCTCCAAGTATCTCACAGCTACGCTCAAGTGAGTGTGAGCATGTGAATTCAGGCTCTTTCGCATGATTAGAACCGCAAACACTGGACAATTTGCAGCCTAACACTGGAGTTAAAGAGACAGTTCATCCAAAACAGAAAGTTTGTGAACGCTGAAGAAGATATGTGACCCTGGAGCACAAAAGCAGTCATAAGCAGCACAGGTATATTTGTAGCATAAGCCAACAATACATTGTATAGGTCAAAATTATCCATTTTTCTTTTATGCCAAAAATCATTAGGATATTAAGTAAAGATCATGTTCCATGAAGATATTTTGTAAATTTCCTACTGTAAATATATCAAAACATAATTTTTGTTTAGTAATATGCATTGCTAAGAACTTCATTTGGACAACTTTAAGATGATTTTCTCAATATTTAGATTTTTTTTGCTCCCTCAGATTCCAGATTTACAAATAGTTGTATCTCAGCCAAATATTGTTCTATATAATATATTGTCCTAACAAACCATACATCAATGGAAAGCTTATTTATTCAGCTTTCAGATGATTCAAAAATCTCAATTTCACAAAAATTGACCCTTATGACTGGTTTTGTGGTCCAGGGTCACATATTTTGATGAATGTTCAATCCCCATTGGAACCCACTAATATATATATATATATATACATTTCGCAAAATATCTTTTCACAACAGAAAGAAAATCGTACCAGTTTGGAAAGACACGGGGGTGAAGTTCCACCTGAGATTTTAAATTATTTTTGTAATAATTTACCAACACATTTGCATGTTCATGGTAGTCTGATGTTGGTTAACGTGCAGCTAAACAAACTAAATATTTTGTTTTATTTGAATGTTTTTGTTTTATAATAAATGCATTCATTTTAATTTGACAGTTACTTATTTATTTCAAGTTTATTTTTTGGTATTTGACATAAAGCTGAAATAAAATAAAACATAACTATAACTTGATGAACATAAATATTGACTATAGATTGAAAACTTAAAGTTAAAAAATGTAAATGAAAGTTTGAAATCTTGCCTTAGCAGCAAACTGAAATAAATACATTTAGGTTGAAGTACTTAAACTGAAATAAAGTAAATTACAGATATCTAAAAATCTAAATGAATGAACGAATGAATGAATGACAAAGGCACATAACAAAATTACGAAAACCTAAACTAAATTTAAAAATTTAATGAGCAAAATTTAAAATGAAAACTTAAAATACAAAAATAAAAGCTACTTCAAAATATTCATAAATACTACACTAGCAAATTAAAATGAAAACTGAAAATATAAAAATAAAAGCTAATTCCAAATATTAATAAATACTGTACTAGTAAATTAAACTGAAAACTGAAAACATAAAAATAAAAGCTAATTCAAAACATTAATAAATACTCCAATAGCAAATTAAAATGAAAACTGAAAATATAAAAATAAAAGCTAGTTCAAAACATGAATAAACAGTACACTAGTATATAAATAAAACAAAAATAAATATTGACTATACACGAAAAAGTATATAAATAACATGCCTAAACCAACTAATAACCATCTCTAACCAGCTAGAAACCATTTCAAACTAGCTGGATTTTCTGGAATTTCCTGCAGACAAATGACAAACATTTTAAAACAGACTTTACGAGGGTGAATAAATCATGCCAGAATGATTATTTTTGCAGGAACTATTCCAATAAGACACTATTTATATACCCTAGTATTTATTGTGGTACTCCCAAGGAACTTACCATGATGCATGTCCAAAAACCTGATAATACCAAGGTACTTTCTAGAAAAAGTGCCGTCAGGTTTCTTTGAGTTCAGGTCCGGCTGCGCCTTTCTGGCACAGACATGAAGTCCACACCTGGAGATCATTTGGGCGGGTTGCTAAAGTGAGTTTATTAAGGAAAATGACTCAGACGTATTATTATTGAAGGTTTTTTGGACATGTATCATGGTAGCTCGGAGAAACAAGCAAATATCATGGTATATAAATACAGTAATCATTCAGTACCATGGCATTAGTACCATCTCCATGTTCAGATGACAGATTAAAGACGTCATTCTAGCCCACTTATGAATAATATACTTTTTTTTTTTTACCACAACTTCTATGGGACGTCCTGTAAAGCGTGTCTGAGCGAGCAACAGTATAACCAAAGGTCAACCGGCCTGATTTTCATTAGTGAAGTGAAGTTTTGGTGCAGCTCCAGAGGGATTTGATATATTGTGAGTATTGTGAGATGCTTCTCATTTCTCAAGACATTCAGCTGCTGCTTCTAAAAGCCTCAGTGAGCGTCTGACAGACTGAGCGTTAAAGGGGTCATAGGATGCCCATTTTCCACAAGTTGATATTATTCTTTAGGGTCTTAATGAAAAGTCTGTAACATAGTTTGGTTAAAATTTCTCAATGGTAGTGTAAAAACACCTTTTTTACCCTGTCAAAAACAGCTCTTTTCAGATCAAGCCGTTTTTGTAGCATTTCCCTTTAAATGTTAATGAGCTCTGCTGACTCCGCCCCTCTCTTCCGAGCCGCTCTCTGAGAGACTGTTTACTTTAGCCGCATTCATCGTGAAACTTGCTAATTAGCACATTATTAGGAAAGGCGATTTGCAAAGATTCATTACAAAACATTACACTCACTTCTTCTGTAGGTGAAGCTGGACCATGAATGATTCGCGCGAACATAAACGCATTTATGTAGATCAGGGGCGCATTCCCTTCAGAAACACTGTAATCCACTGCGTCTTCAGCGGCTCAGATGTCGGGAGTAAATGACGACTGCTGGACTGATGACAGTCACTCAGGGCGGGTCTAAGGTAAGACGCCAGTCCAGTCTGTGCTGAAACACTACTGTCAATCAAACTATAGTGGGAGGGGCCTGTCTGTGTGACGTCACACAGTTGCAGATGGCTGCAGATAAAAAAAAAACACTGGGTGGATTTTTATCATTATAGGGTGGTTGTGTACACACACTGCCAACACACATTTCAGTTCAAACAACTTGTAAAAGTGCATGTAGCATCCTATGACCCCTTTAATGCAAAGAGAAGCGTCTGAGATACAGAGCTAGCGGGTTTCTCCAATCGTCTGCGTGCGTTTGTGGACCCTGTAGGTCACGGAGTGGAAAAATGACAAGCTTTTCAGAAAATGGAATTAGTTTTTGTTTCCAAAATCGCAGATCTTCCAGTAACAAGCTGATTTTTCCAATGCAAAAAAATATAAAAATACTCCATCACAGTTTTGTATAGTATTGTACAGCCGAGTGAACTGGGTTAATAATCAAACACATTAACTTAAACTGCTTTGGGATTCTGAGAAGTCATTAATAGATTAAAAACTCACAGCCAGTAACAATAATGTGCAAATGAGTTGTTTTGATTAATCCGAGGGTCTTCCAGCCGGATCAAATGTGTGTGCATGCAGTGTTTTTTCTCTTTAATCTCCTCACAGGAGAGTGTTGAGTCTTGAAGAGCTCTTGAGGTTGAATGGACAGTCAAAACACAGATGCACTTGAGCGGTTCTGGACGACTTTCAACACTTTACATTGCTTTTCTCACCAATGAACGCTCTGTAGCAAATGCATATGCTTTCCTCTAATGCACCGTCTGTCTGTTTTTGATCAAACCTTTCAATGCGGAAAAGAAACAACACAAATGTCAGCATTTTCTCAAAGCAATGAGATTAAGAGCAGAGCAAACATAGTCTGCTGCTTTCCTCCTGAGAAAAAAACACCCAAATAATCTAGTGTTTCAGAGGAAATCTCAACAACATGTCACACATCTCAAAAATATCGAACTCCAATAAGTCTCCTGAGCTATGAAAAAGCAACATTTGTGCAATAAAATTGTCCTAGTATAGAAGAAATTACTGAAACTATCAGCCAAAAGCACTTGATATTAAAAAATGGTCCTAAAGTAAATATAAATGGTGTCCACAAACCATTTAACTTTTAAAAAAATACTTAAACAAATGATTGAAACTATCAACCAAAGCACTTGATATTAATAATAATAATAATAATAATTATTATTATTATAAAGCCAACATAAACAGTGATCACAAACCTTTTTACTTGTGCACTGTGTTGTATTGCTTAGTGAAACAGAATAAATAATTAGGAAAACATACAGAAGAAATTACAAAAAAATTATTACCGAAATTATCAACCAACGGCATATTACAAAAACTGCCCTACATTGGAAAAAAATTACATTTCAAAGTTGTTAATAAAATAAAGATCATTAGAGTATATTTTACAAGAAAATACTATTTTAGTTTTCTACTTTTAAATTAATGTTTCTGAACGAAAATTGTTTTTAAAACCAATTTTACTCAGAGTGAAGTCAGCATAAACAATGTTCATGAACCAACTCACTACTAGTTAAAATATCCCAATATGGAGATGTAAACAATAAGCAAAGTCAAAAACAAAAACAGACGCTTCTTTTTCTTTTAAATAACGCATCGATTAATAATTTAATCACATACAACCAGGAAAAGTTTTTTTTTTTTAAATAAATGTTGACTAAATAATATATCTTTCATATGTTTCATGATCTTCAGAAATCATTCTAATATTCTGATTTATTATTAGAATTATCAACAGATGTGCTGCCAAATATTTTTCTGGAAACTGCGATTCTTTTTTTCAGGATTCTTTGATGAATAAAAAGTTAAAGAGAACAGCATTTATTCAAAATATAAATCTTTTCTAACAATATAAATCTTTGCTATCACTTCTTAACAATTTAACACATCCTCGCTGAATAAAAGTTTTAATTTCTTTCAAAAAAAGAAAGATTAAAAATGTACTGACTCCAAATAAGAAACTCTTGTAAAAAACATTAAAAATCGTTCTGATCCCAAACTTTTGACCAGTAGTGTGTATATATATATACACACACACACACACACACACACACGCGTTTCATTAGTCTTTTCTTTGCATTCCTAAACCTTGTTGAGTTTCTTCTAGGCTGCATAAGCTGTCGATCCACGACCCTGACCCTGATCCGCAGGCCTTTGACTGCTGGAGCCACTGGAGCGCAGACGAGATCAAAGGGTCACGTCCCGAGAGAATCTAATTATAACTGACACTTCCTGTCTTACAGCGAAGCCCTTCAGCTGCGTCTCCTTCCGCTCCGGACCCCTCAATGAGCCGTCGCCCCGGGTTACGTCTGCCGAGGGGCCAAGAACGCCAGCGACTAAATGACTGTCCGGCTCCCAGAGAGAAAGCAGACAGACTCAGACCAGAGCGGGACAGGAAGAGCTCCTCTCAAAGGGGAAGTGCAATTTTGAGCTCTGAGGAGCGTGACCTGTTGAGGATTTGCTCAGAGCTCAATTTAACTTAAAAACCACTGCGCTGACATCTGATATTAGCACACTGACATACAAAACACCAACAGCCTGCTGGGAAAACCATGTCACAGCAGCTGCATTGACCAGATAATCCAGTTCCCTACCAAAGGTGCTCTACCAGCTTTAACCAGCTGACCAAGACCAATTGTTCAGTCACCTAAACTAACTATACTAATGGGATTTTCCTATACAGCCGAGTGAGAAATGTTTTAAAACTGACTTTAAATACTGTGAATACAAATCTGGAATGGGAATTTCATTCATATGTAGCAGGGATTCCCAAGGTTTTTCTTTTTCTTTTTCTTTTTCTTTTTTGTCAGCCGAACTCCTTAGATGTAGAATATTTACTTGAAGAACCCTCTGTGATTTTAGGTTAACATATTAATAATTTTAAATACATATTTTGTTGTAATACATATTATAATATACTAAAATATTTTATTTTGTTTTTATTTAGAAATGATTTAAGTATTAATTATTTATTAATGCATTTTTAAGATTTAATTAATTATTAGCCCAAGCCAAACCTAAACTCAGTGTTGTTACTGTAAACTAAAACCTTTACAAATCAATTTTGGTAATTGAAATATATCTAAATAAAATTAAAACATACATATTAGATAATAAAAATAAAATGTTGCCTTGGCAACTAACAAAAAGTTAAAGTACTAAAATTACTAAAACTATAAAAAAATAATTAAAGATATATATAAAAACTAATAAAAATGACACAAATAATTTACTAAAACTTAAATTAAAATGGAAATATAAAAATAATATTTATAATAAAATATTATTAGAATAAACTTTTTTTTTAACAAATACTAAAATAGCATGTAAATAATACTAAAACAACACTGTTTAACCCAACTAATAACCATCTCCAACCAACTATAAACCATGCAAAACCAGATTCCAACTTAAGCTGGATTTTCTTTAATTTCCTGCTGTTAAATAACAAACGTTTTCAAACAGACTTGTACTTTCATTAAAAATGTGTAATGGGACTTTAACTGGAATCTCATTCATATAAATGGATCCAGAGTAGATTGAACTGATGGCAGATGTAACTGAGCACCTACTCCAGGAAATCCGTGATGTATTTGCGGCTGCATTTGGACCAGGACCAGGGGCTGGTGTCGTAGTTGAGGGTCGGGGCCATGACGTGGTACTGATGCTTGATTCCCGCCTCGCGGCACTTCGGACTGTCGTCATGAGGCATGTTGAACCTGAAACACACACAGTTCAGCAGATGCTTCTCACAAACACTTCAGGACATTTGTGTTTCTGCACTTCCACATATGAGGATATGAGAAATATGAAAGTACTGCAATTGTATCATGGTAAAATGATGATCATAGCATGGTAACTGGATAAATAGCATCATTACCATATTCAAAAGCTATAATTATTTTAAGATACTTCAAAGAATGGCACATAGTAGGACCACGGTATTGTGTATGGAAGCTTATTTCCTCCGCGGAACAAAAAAATTAAAAAGGTATAATAATCGTGAATCGAATCGAATCGTGAAATCAAAATCGTGAATCGAATCGAATCGTGAGTTGAGTGAATCGTTACATCCCTACTTGCAAGTCTGAGAAAAGTCTGAATTGTGGGGGAAGAAAGTTGAATAACTTTTTTTATTATTATATGTAGATGATTATATGTATTATTCTGAGATGTAAACTCAGAATTCCGAGAAAATTCAAAATTGCTAGACGTAAACTTAGATTTCTGAAAAAAAGTAAAAATTGAGATGTAAACTCAGAATAAAAAAAAAAAAAGAATTTAAAATTACGAGATGTAAACTCAGAATTCCAAGAAAAAAATCAAAAAATTACGAGATGTAAATTCATAATTCCGAGAAAATAAAAAATTTCTAAATTGCAAGATGTAAACTTAGAATTCCAAGAAAAAAGTAAAAATTGCGAGATGTAAATTCAGAATTTTGAGGAAAAAAAAATCAGAATTGCGAGATGTAAACTCAGAATTCCGAGAAAAAAACTCAAAATTCTGAGATTTAAACTCAGAATTCCGAGAAAAAAACTCAAAATTATGAGATGTAAACTAAGAATTCCGAGAAAACTCAAAATTGCGAGACGTAAACTCAGATTTCTGAAAAAAGTAAAAATTGAGATGTAAACTCAGAATTCCCAAAAAAAAAGAATTTAAAATTACGAGACGTAAACTCAGAATTCCAAGAAAACAACTCAAAATTGCGAGATGTACATTCAGAATTCCGAGAAAAAAGTCAGAACTACGAGATGTAAACTCAGAATTCTGAAAAAAAGTAAAAAATTGAGATGTAAACTCAGAAAAAAAAAAAAAAAAGATTTTAAAATTACGAGATGTAAACTCAGAATTCCAAGAAAAAAATAAAAAAATTACGAGATGTGAATTCATAATTCCGAGAAAATAAAAATATCTAAATTGCACGATGTAAACTTAGAATTCCGAGAAAAAAGTAAAAATTGCGAGATGTAAATTCAGGATTTTGAGAAAAAAAAATCAGAATTGCAAGATGTAAACACAGAATTCTGAGAAAAAACTCAAAATTATGCGATGTAAATTCAGAATTCCGAGAAAAGAAAAAAAGTCGTAATTTTGTAATTACGAAATTACAAAATTTTTCCTTTGAATTGTGTTATATATTGTGTATAAAAAGTCAAAAAGTCACTATTACATTTTTTATATTTTTTACCATAATTTTGTGTCAATGCTGTAATATGTGCGACTGTCAACAGGACATGAAACCTCTTTTTATTACAGACAGGAAGAGTCCAGCAATAAAATCTTAAAATAAAAGCTGCACTGAGGCAAATCTGATGTCAGAGTCCAGAAACAGCTGTGAAATCAGACACACGACAGCTACAGCACGACGAGGAACGCAGCTGTGTTGATGCACATCCTTCAGACTCCATCTGAGAGGCTTCATCCGCACGTTAAAACACTTTTCACATGTTACATTCGTGAAATACTTTTGCTGTACGAATCGGTTTCATTTCAAGAACATCTGTGCCGCTCATTTAAAGAGCTTGAGCAAAAAATGAATCTTCTCTCATCATTTATTCACACTTAAATCATTCAAACCCCATTTCTTCAGTGGACAATGTTCACACTGCTTTTATTACACTTTTATAGAAATGTTTTGTCATTTTTTAGACCTGGTCCATATCCAGTTTTGTTGCATGGAAAGAGCAGGTTTGGAACAACATGATGACAAATTGATGACAAAAGATTCATTTTTAGGTGAACTATTCCTTAGAAAAGTCTTGTCTTGCTCTATGGAGTCAAACAGCTCATCAATGTCGAGTTTTGGACAGAGAAAGTGAGATGCCAGATGTTCTACATTGCATCAAAATACAAGGATTTTCGGCTATGAAACAAATGAAAAATGAAATGTTACAGCCTACTGGAGTCATGTATCAGCGTTAAAGACTCGTGAATCGTTCTTAATGGATCTGAATAACCTCTGACTGATTTAAACACTGACAAAATGATGCTCTTCCTCAGTATTTTTGTCTTGAGTTCCAGTACAAATATCTAAATACTCTTAAATCAAGACACATTGTTACTTGTAAGTTACTTGAGATATTAAGTCTTGTTTTCTGAAAAATATATCAAAATGAAGTGAGTTTATGCTAGAACTAGAAAAAAAAATCTGCCAATGGTGCCAGAAAAATTAAATTAATTCAAAGGGAAAACAAGCTTATTTTTCTGACCCCATTGGCAGATATTTGTTCTTGTTTTAAGCAAAAACTCACTTAATTTTGATGCATTTTTCAGAAAAGAATCTATATCTTGTAATTTTGCTACTCAAGTAAATGTATCTTTATTTATGAATGTTTACATATTTGTGCTGGAAAACAAGACAACAATACTACAAAAAAATGTTCATTCTTAGTATTTTTTGTCTTGCTTTAATGTCTAAAATCAACATGAATTTACTTAAGAAACAAAATTACTTACAATATTAAATATTTTTTTCCTGAAAAAAAAAAAATGCATCAAAATTTAGTAATTTTACATTTAAAACAAGAAAATCTGCCAATGGGCTCAGAAAACAACTTTAACTTAATTTAAAGTGTATGTTTCTTTGAATAATTTTGCTTCTAAAGTAAATATATTTTCATTTAAAAAAATAAGATATTTTACTAAAAAGCAAGACAAAATACTGGGTACACTGTGAAAATGATTTTCTTACTGAGCCTTGTTTTTTAGTTTTCCAGTCCAAGTATCTAAACATACTTAAATTAAGATTCATATTAAGATTAATTTACCTGAGAAGTAAAATGACATAAAATATTAAGTCTTGTTTCCTGAAAAACAAAAATGCATCAAAACTAAGTTAAGATTGTTCATTCTTAGTATTTTTTGTCTTGCTTTAATGTCTTAAATCACCATGAATTTACTTAAGAAGCAAAATTACTTACAATATTAAATATTTTTCTCCTGAAAAAAAAAAATCATCAAAATTTTGTAATTTTACATTTAAAACAAGAAAATCTGCCAATGGGCTCAGTTTTGTCATTTTTTAGACCTGGTCCATATCCAGTTTTGTTGCATGGAAAGAGCAGGTTTGGAACAACATGATGACAAATTGATGACAAAAGATTCATTTTTAGGTGAACTATTCCTTAGAAAAGTCTTGTCTTGCTCTATGGAGTCAAACAGCTCATCAATGTCGAGTTTTGGACAGAGAAAGTGAGATGCCAGATGTTCTACATTGCATCAAAATACAAGGATTTTCGGCTATGAAACAAATGAAAAATGAAATGTTACAGCCTACTGGAGTCATGTATCAGCGTTAAAGACTCGTGAATCGTTCTTAATGGATCTGAATAACCTCTGACTGATTTAAACACTGACAAAATGATGCTCTTCCTCAGTATTTTTGTCTTGAGTTCCAGTACAAATATCTAAATACTCTTAAATCAAGACACATTGTTACTTGTAAGTTACTTGAGATATTAAGTCTTGTTTTCTGAAAAATATATCAAAATGAAGTGAGTTTATGCTAGAACTAGAAAAAAAAATCTGCCAATGGTGCCAGAAAAATTAAATTAATTCAAAGGGAAAACAAGCTTATTTTTCTGACCCCATTGGCAGATATTTGTTCTTGTTTTAAGCAAAAACTCACTTAATTTTGATGCATTTTTCAGAAAAGAATCTATATCTTGTAATTTTGCTACTCAAGTAAATGTATCTTTATTTATGAATGTTTACATATTTGTGCTGGAAAACAAGACAACAATACTACAAAAAAATGTTCATTCTTAGTATTTTTTGTCTTGCTTTAATGTCTAAAATCAACATGAATTTACTTAAGAAACAAAATTACTTACAATATTAAATATTTTTTTCCTGAAAAAAAAAAAATGCATCAAAATTTAGTAATTTTACATTTAAAACAAGAAAATCTGCCAATGGGCTCAGAAAACAACTTTAACTTAATTTAAAGTGTATGTTTCTTTGAATAATTTTGCTTCTAAAGTAAATATATTTTCATTAAAAAAAATTGATATTTTACTAAAAAGCAAGACAAAATACTGGGTACACTGTGAAAATGATTTTCTTACTGAGCCTTGTTTTTTAGTTTTCCAGTCCAAGTATCTAAACATACTTAAATTAAGATTCATATTAAGATTAATTTACCTGAGAAGTAAAATGACATAAAATATTAAGTCTTGTTTCCTGAAAAACAAAAATGCATCAAAACTAAGTTAAGATTTTGGGGTCAGAAAAATAAACTTAATCCAAAGAGAAAACAAGTTTATTTTCTGATACCATTTTTCTTAAAGCATGACCTTATGATAATTTTTCTTAATCATTTATCTTAATATGTAATTTTGATTCCCAAGTACATGCATTTTGATTTAAGAATGTTTAGATACACTACCAGTCAAAAGTTTTTTTATGTTTTTTAAAGAAGTCTCTTCTGCTCACTAACCCTGCATTTGTTTGACCCAAAATACAGCAAAAGCAGTAAAATTGCGAAATATTTTTATTATTTAAAATAACTATTTTCTATGTGAATATCTGTTAAACTGTAATTTATTTCTGTGATCAAAGCTGAATTTTCAGCATCATTACTCCAGTCTTTCAGCTTTAATAAAGACTTTTATAATGCTACAAATGATTTTTATTTCAGATAAATGCTGGTAAAACTCAACTGTTTAACTCTAGGGGAGTTGGAAAATTAGCCTATTTTCAAAAAATAGTGGAGTGTTCCTTTAAACCTTGACAAACACATTTCTTCTGTAATAGGCTCTAGTTTTTATCAACTTCGTCTGTCGTCAAAAATCAAACCTTTCCTAAATCATAAAACTCTAGAGATGGCTGTTCATGCTTTTATTACCTAAAATTGGGCAGTACAGACATTTATAATGATTTCAAACGATTTCTATTTCAAACAAATACTGTTCTTCTGAACTTTCTATTCATCAAAGAAACCTGAAAAAAATATACTCAGCTGTTTTTAACATAATAATAATAATAAAAATGTTTTTGAGCATCAAATCAGCATATTAGAATGATTTCTGAAGATCATGTGACACTGAAGACTGGAGTAATGATGCTGAAAATTCAGCTTTGATCACAGAAATAAATTACATATTCAAATATATTCAAATATAAAGCAGTTATTTCATTTAAAACAAGAAAATCTGCCAATGGGCTCAGAAAACAACTTTAACTTAATTTAAAGTGTATGTTTCTTTGAATAATTTTGCTTCTAAAGTAAATATATTTTCATTAAAAAAAATTGATATTTTACTAAAAAGCAAGACAAAATACTGGGTACACTGTGAAAATGATTTTCTTACTGAGCCTTGTTTTTTAGTTTTCCAGTCCAAATATCTAAACATACTTAAATTAAGATTCATATTAAGATTAATTTACCTGAGAAGTAAAATGACATAAAATATAAAGTCTTGTTTCCTGAAAAACAAAAATGCATCAAAACTAAGTTAAGACTTAAATAGTAAAAATATTTCACAATATTACTGCTTTTGCTGTATTTTGGATCAAATAAATGCAGGCTTGGTGAGCAGAAGAGACTTCTTTAAAAAACATTAAAAATCTTACTGTTCAAAAACTTGACTGGTAGTGTATATACCAAAAAAAATAAGCATAAACTCACTTAATTCTATCTGAATTCTATCTGATGTTATTTTGCATTCAACACATCTTGATTTATGACACTTGATGTTTGTCCTGGAAAACGAGACAAAGACACTGAGAAAGAACATTATCTGGCGGACAGACTGTAAATGTAACTTTATTTTGCTGTGATTAGGCTTTGCTTTCGGAAATCTGAATCTGAGCGGCGGTTTGTCCTCGTCGTCCCACTGCGGCGCAGAAATTCCCTCCGGATGAGAGGCGGCCGAATATCGTCTCGGTTACGTATGGTAACCCTCGTTCCCTGAAGGAGGGAACGGAGACGTCAC